CAAAGTGAAGAGTTATGTTAATCTCAAAGACCATTTTGACAAAAAAAATCTAAATCTAAATGTAATCTCAAAGACTATATATATTTTTTTTTTTTGAAACAACAATTAATTTAATAATTTGACAAAAAGAATAAAAGTGTAACAATTTAAAATTTTACAAGTTATTTTTCCTAAATCTAAAAAGGAAAAAAAAAAAACATGAACCAAAATACTCCCACCCAAAAGTTAAAAAGGTGCAAAATGTGACATAAACAAATGTAAGGCATTTTGGCAAAATAGTTTTAAGATTGACATAACTCTGCATTTTGATCATTGAGATTTGAAATCAATAAAACTTGTCCTTATGTTTGTCCACCGTCAATCACATTGGTCATTCTTGAAAAATCTCTATTAAATAAATATCAAAATGACATAAATACCCTGAAGGACGGAAAGTTTTGATTGTTATTTTTTTCTTATTTGACGGAAATTTTTAATAGAATGACCAAAGTAATTAACGGTGGAAAAACTCAGGGACAAGTTCTATCAATTTAAAATCTCAGATATCAAAGTGAAGAGTTATGTTAATCTCAAAGACCATTTTGACAAAAAAAATCTAAATGTAATGATAACTATCTTTTGCAGTTTTGTTTTGTTGGAAGAGGATCAGGTCCGGATCTCTCCCATCAAAAGCCTAGGATCAAGTGATCCGGACCATTGAAATTTAATACAACGACTACAAACAAAGAACCCCTTTAAAAGTTATAATAATTGTAGTCATTGGATCAAATTTCAACGCCCGGATCACTTGATCATGGGCCCTTGTTGGGAGAGATCCAAACCGGATCCTTTTACATTTTCCTAGGGATTCTAGGGATCCAGCAATCATTTTCATTCATCGTACATCGTGCTGTCAGTTTTCGTTAGGTACTATTTATATTTGAATTTTAAATTTTAAATTTTAAATAATTTCTGACCACATGATGTACGATGAACGAATATGATTGCAGGATCCTAGAATCCCTAAGATTTTCCTATTTGTGGAAAGCAGGCTAAGGAAAGTGTGGCAGTAATCTATTACTTGAAAGATGTTGGAAATGGACATGGCTTCTCTGCCCTCCCAGTTCCCATACACTCTCATCTCCTCTTATTTGTCTTATTATCTCTATAAAAAAAATGGTCACGGTTAAGCCACGTCAACATTTTATATCACTAATATTTTTTGTCTTATTATCTCTATAAAAAAATTAATATAAAATGTTGACGTAGCTTAACCGTGACCACACAAAATAGGAGAGAATGAGAATGTATGAAAACTGGGAGGGTAGAAACGCTGGGTCCGTTGGAAATTGCTCCTTGTCTCTGCTTGATGCCTTTCACATCATTCTTGTGTTGTTACCTTGAAACATATTTATTGTTAAATCTCATATTTCAAAAACTTAGATTTTTTTTTTAAAAAAAATGTGTCATTTCCAATGTTTATTAATTTTTCTTGGTGTTCCATATACAACGACATGTCTTTTTCTTGACCAATGTCATCTACTGTTGCACATTTAAGATTTAAGAGGAATGCAATGGGATAATAGCATTTTACATGAAACAAATTTATTACAATTGTAACTTTTAGATCATCATACATTGTCACATTAAATAAAAGTTAAAAATTATAATAAATTATTAAATTAGTACGTTACGCGACGGTAAACTCTTTTTCTCCTTCTAAACTCCATCTCATCGGATCATGCATCACGAAGTTTGTAAAAGACTGCTAAAAGTAATGGTAACTCCATATCACGAAGATGGGAAATAGTAGTGCTGTCGTTCTTGACCTAATAAAAGTGGAGGCAGATTCTCTGCCCTCCCACTTTCTGTGCCCTCATGTTTTGTGTGGGAACGGTTAAGTTACGTCAACATTTTAATTTATTTTTTGATAGAGATAATAAGATAAAAATGAATAGTAATATAAAATGTTGACGTGGCTCAACCGTGATCACACAAACAGAAGGACAATGAAGGATACGGGAAATGGGAGGACAGAGAATCTGCCTCCAATAAAAGTAGTGCTGCCCTTGTTTTAATGATGGTTATTCTTGCAATTATAAACAAAAGTTTTTTTAATTAATTTATAATATTGGGAAAACCTTTTAACTTCAATTTCCATGAAAAAAAAGAAGAGAAGAATGGATTATAGAAGAGGACAATCGGGTCAACAAGAAAACGCAGACCCTTCTAAATTATTTCGATGCTCTTATCGTGTTATATTTTGCACACGGACTCTCAGATTGCAGATAGATACACCATGACCAATAGTTTGCTTCGAATATAGGAGTTGCTAAGAGTAAAACTCAAAGAAAAAAAAAGCCGATTGTATGGAAAATATTTCTGGAAGGCATATTTGTCAATCTTATTTAGTGGTTTAGTAGGTATGGGAGAAAATTTTCACCTTGGCTTGAATTGACGAAAATCTACGCACAAAGAAAAGAGACAAACGGAGTAGACAAACATCAATGTGGTGTTAGCCAAAGTGCCTATGATGCAGCCTAAGTAGTGTAAGAAGTAATAAGAACGTGTTGAGAGTTCTTGATTACCATAATAAGTGGCTGACCTCGGCTATTTATAGAGAACTGATGAGTTAACTCTAGCACCCCGTTGAACCTATTTGCAGAGTGTTACCTAGTCTGCACATCTATGGGAGAATATTCCTTTGAGATTCCTGGATTATGCTTCAGAGAATCTTGACATGCTAGGAGATTAACAGGCAAACCCATTACATATCAGGGTAATTTGTGTAGCTCGCTTGGGGATCGGCTTGGACCTTTTGCGATGATTGGGCTTAGAGGACTATTGATTGTGGGTTTTTAGGACCTTCGTAGAGAATGTGGCCCGTTAGCCTGTTGGGGTTTAGCTAATGGTCTGCATATTTTGTCAATGACATAATAGTTATATATGATAAGTTCTACATGTGGCGTGTTCCTATTGGTCAAATATCTTATGTTTTCATAGTAAGTATGAATCATCAAGATCAACCTCCGAGACTTATTCTAAAGTTTCTTTCTTATTCCGAAATTCGAACCAAACAAATTTATTGTTTTTTTTTTCCGCACTCCATTTGCATTAGAAATACAAGAAGAATTTATGAGCAAAAAATGGGTCTTCTTCATTCACAAAAACTTGGTTTAAGATTTATCAATGTTAAGGGTGATTCGAAGCTCTTATTAATTGCATTCTGCATCGCAGTCTAATTTCTTGAGTCTATTAGTTTTAGTCATGTTTGGTGGAAGACTAATTTTATCGCACTCTATCCCTTCTGGTGTAAATTGTACAGGACAAGGATTGTCTGTCCTCCACTTCCGGTGCCCTCTCCGTGTCCTCTTGTTTTGTGGTTACGGTTAAGCTACGTCAACATTTTATATTGTTTTTTGTTATAGATATAATAAGACAAAAATGAATAGTAATATAAAATGTTGACGTGGCTTAACCGTGACCATACAAACAGGAGGGCACAAGGAGGGCACCGAAAGTGGACGGCAGACGATCCTTGTCCAATTGGACATCCCCTCCGGCTAGACATGTGTTGTTGTATGATGCTTTATGTACAGGAAGCCCTCATGGCTATCTTGTTTAGTTGAAGAAAAGTACTATACACCCCCGATATTTACCTCAAACACTTAATAATTTTTATTCATTCATCTTCTTCAATTTTTTTTTGTTAAAATGACACTTTGTATACGGTCCTTAGTTGGTATAATTATTTAATTGAAACCTTATTGAATTTTAGTTTTTAATCAAGGTCCCTAGGCTTTATACACATCAACATTTTATTATTCACATATTTCTATGTCAGCTTTTTATTTTATTTATTAAATTTTTTAATTTATAAATTATACTTCATATCACTCATTATCACGGCAAGATAATGGGAGAGCATTGTAACAGAAATTCCCAAATTTCAGTCCCCCAATTCAAGCTGTTATGTTTTCAATTATAGTTTGTATCCAATACAGACTTCATGAACTCTGTCATTGAAAAGCTGATGTGAAGTCTCCATATATGCTAACAGAAAAATGTACCCCATGCAATAAGATTGTACCCCCCACGCATATGGCCTTTTTTCTCCAAGTTCCTCTGCAAATGCAATGCAGTTCTTCTCCGCTTGAAATGCCTCTGACTGGGTAGAACTATGGTACAAAGATTACCCATTTAAAAATCTTAACAAGTCTCTCTGATGTAATAAAAAACTGATGCAGCATCTTCAAATATTCTGCAAAAATCTGCGTTTGTTTGAATGCTTGTGGAGAACATATGGGTACGGGTCAAATTTTGACGAAATTTGAAATAGCTTGAATTGGGCAGCTGAAATCTAGGAGTTTCAGTTACAATGCTATTTAATTATTTTGAGGGTGCTAATGAATGATATGAGGGATAATTTATAAATTTTTAATAAATAGAATAAAAAGCTGACATGGAAATATGTGTAAATGATGATGTGTACAAAGTCTAGGGACCTTGATAAAAAACTAAAATTCAACAAGGTTTTAATCATAGCATATTGGCAACTAGGGCTTGGATTCTAAATTTTTCATAATAATATAATAATAATAATAATAATAATAATAATAATAATACACAAGTTGAAAATAAAAGTAGAAATCATTACATTTTTTGGGTTGAAATACAAATCCTATCGGAGCTTGTGAAAGCCAATCTAGGAATTGGATCCGCTCCGGACTAAGGTTCGGAGTGTAGAGATCAATTTATCTGGACCGTATAAATTTAATCCAACGATCCTCATTAACTCATTTTCCTGGTCCACCACACAAAATTAATAACTCTAATTTCTTTTACACACTAATCAAATGCCCATATAATTTGATCCCTAAGCTCTGGACCGTGGATCCAATTCTACCAATCTAAACCCTGGCACTGTTGTTTAATTTAACCCTACATATGGTTTTTCCTTTTCATTTATTTTCTATAGTTTGTACCTCATGGTACTTAAAATCTCATTTGTACCCAATAATAATATTGTCAGTCAAAATTCAAACCCCCACCAACTCCCCTTCTCTCTCTCTCTCTCTTTTTCTGAGTCCTTCCCTTTTCCCTTTTTGTCCTATTTTCTTCTTCGATTTTGGTTTAGAGTCCATTACTTTGATCACAAGACATGGAAAAAGCTCTGAAACTCAAAGAGAAGCAAAGCCAGGGCCAAGCCATGCAAATATCGAAGCAACAACGACAAGAACCAGAAGACCAGATCAAGCTTGCTGTCGCTGCCATCACCCTCAATGCACGGTTGAGATCATCCGACATGCCTGCCCACATGCAAAACCACGCTCTCCGCCACACCAGATCACTCCTCGACTCACCACCACCACCACCAAACCCCAAAACTCGTCTCAACCCAACACACCTCGCTCGAGCTCTCAAAAAGGTACATATGATACTTTCAATCTCTTTGTTTCTGGAGAACAGCAACGGTTCATCATCACACGTGGAGTTCTGGTCCAATAATGTAACGTTATGTGAGAGAAACTTATACATAACATTATATTATTTGAGCGGAAAGCCACAAGAGCGATGAGCATGTTCCATGTAAGTCTTCGCTGCAGCTAGATTGGTCTGTTTTTGTTTAATTAATCCGGGTTACTTAATTAAATTTAATGAAAACGTAGGAGTTTGACTCGGTGTATGGACCGGCGTGGCACTGCGTGGTGGGGACGAGTTTTGGATCGTTCGTGACTCACTCAACCGGCGGGTTCGTGTATTTCTCTGTCGACGAATCGCTGTCGGTGCTTCTCTTCAAAACGGAGGTCCAGTTGGTGACGGAACCACGACCACCACAACCAGCTAAGCCTTCAACTTTGAGTCCTTGTTGAGAATTTTGTGTTGACGCGTGACAGACGTGTTCATTGTGATTACTCTCCTTCTTTGACTAGCATGCACCATAAAATATTCCATTTCTTTTTTTTTCTTCTCTTTTTCTTTAAAACAAACAAACATGTACGTATGTGGTCATGACCTTTGAGCTTTTATACAATTACAAGTAAAGAAAGGTGGTCAACCGTTGGCTGTCCTTTTTTTCAACTTTAATTGCTCATTTTGGGGTCTTTCTTAGGATATAAAGTTTTGATTTTTCTGTAAGGGGCTTGTAAGTCAGTTGGTTCGATTTTGAATTCGTCATCCCTCAATATCGCTTGTATATAATAACAAAAAAAAAATTTTGATTTTTAGTCCATGTAGTTCAGGGAAAGAATACACTTACGCAAATATCAATTTTCGCAATTTTAAACATGTAGTTTACCCGTCCTTTCATTTTAAGCACGAAGGCTTGGCTTTGTCTATTTTTGGACAAAATTAGCACGTGAATGACGCGTAAAATCACCACTTATGCTACTTTCGTTAGAAAATTTTGTTGAAATTGGGTTGTGGTTGAAAGTTGAATCAATGAGTAATCTGTAGGCCAAAAATAGCAAAAAATTGAAGGCCAAATCGCATAAATCATGGGGTCTTAAGATATTCAGAACATAGTCTATGTGATAAAAAAATTCGAATTTAAACTCATGTGGTATAGTCCGTTAGCAAATTTAGTCCAAAAGTATTAGTTCCGTTAAGTGTCCGTTAAATACATGGATAGAATTGTATTTTCACAAAACCATGTCTGAGATCAACCTCATCACTGATCTCGATGCCATTCCACTCGGAGCCCTGAATACACTTTCCACAAATCCATCTGCTACAACTTTGGCAGGGACCAATACTGGTGGTGTTTGTATTGCAATCGCAACACATCTTGCTATCGTTACTGGGCATATCAAACTCGCCAGACAAAACCCGCGAGTACCTAATTTGTCTATTTGATCTTAGTAGCGAGCGATCAGGTATTCCCTTTGAATGGCAACAGCCCAACAAAGAATAAGAAAGCTAGATTCATTTTCTTCTTTTAAATTTCGGTATAATCAACAAATAAAAGCAAAATCCTCCGCAATAAAAATGATGGATGAATTGGTATAAAAAAGGTAATTTATTGGTACTAAAATAGGGAACTTTAAAGAAAAACTTCTGGTACTGTTTACTTTAACGAAAACTACATTTTTATATTAAAAAGTCAATCCTGGTACTATTCACTTTACTCTTTATTTTGTCCTTATCATTAAAACTTAAAGTTTTCAACCATTTTCATTAGTTTTCCAACTAAAATATTGATTTTCACAACACCACATCAAAGTACAATTTTACCCATACGTTTAGTGGACATTTATCAGGAAAATTATTTTTGGACTAAATTTGCTAACGAACTACATCATACGAGTTTAAATACAATTTTTTTTTTATCACGTAAGCTATCTTCCTAATATCTTGTAACCACATAAACTATTTATCCGATTTGGCCAGAAGTGAAACCACTGAGACTCAAATGAAATTGCAGTGGTGAAAAACTTGGTACACAACAGAATTGAATGTTGTGAAAAACTTGGCCTCTCTACTTTTGGATGCTTGGCCGTGAAAAATGTTGGGAAATGATGACTTCCGGCAAGGTTGGTACACAATGTAAGATGAGAGAGAGAGATAGAGAGAGAGAGAGAGAGATTTGGTGTTCATTGAGAAGCCAAATCAAGGTCTTTTCCATTACATTTTGTAAATAAAGATTAATGAGTGACAATTTCAGTCTGCAAATTCCAAAACTACACGCAAACACGGAATTGAAACCTCATAAATCCATCCCCTGTGTATCGTGTTCATCTTCCCAAAATTGAGATCTCTATTCTTCTGGCTTTTTGTATATACAAAAAAGATATTTTATATCAATATTTTAATTATTATTTAATTGTTATTTTGGTCAATTTCTTCTGTTTGTTTGACTAGTCCCCAACTGTCTTGTATTATCCACTATATCATCTTGGAAGTTTGTGTCTTGCGTTTACTCCCCTTGGATCCTCTCCCCTAATTACCAGTTTACCATCCCTGTTTTTCTATCTTCTTGTTTTTCTCCCAAACTTTTATAGGAGAGTCCGTGACTAGAGAGAGAGAGAGAGAGAGAGAGAGAGAGAGAGTCCAACCAATAGAGAATTCTAAACTTTCGGATATGTATACCAAATCGTCAGTGGAAGAGAAACAGATCTACAAGGAATGGCTGGACTGGAAATAAATCACTCTTAGGTATCGTTTGGTATGCAGATGGGACGGGACGAAATGGAACGGGACAAGACGGCACGGGACGGAACAAAGAGGGAGCAAAGATGCCTTCGGATGGAAACAAGGAGGAAGAAGAAAGAAACAAAGAGGTTATAATTTTGTGTTCCACGGATGTGGAACGAGTCGTTCCAGGAAGGTGAGGCGGAATGAAAATTCACCCAAAACTTGTCCCGTAGAACAGCGCGTTCCACCCGTTTTAGGCGCACCAAACGTGGGACGGAACGCCTCGTCCCACTCCGTTCTGTCCCGTCCCACCTTAATATACAAATAAATTTGCACAAACCCGGCAGCATGCCACGGCAAACCCCTTAGAAAACTTAACTATAATCACAATAATTACGAGTCTACGGAAGACATACTCTTTTTCCCATGGTCTGATACTGCTGCAAACTACAACTCCTAAGACAGGTTCCTTTCGCACATCAGAGATTCAATCTTTTCAACATCTTCTGGGGTGTCAACACCGTGAGCCTCATGGTCGACCTTAATCACCTGCAAACATAGAACCATGTCAACTTTTGGACATCTACATTTAAGCAAAAGAAACCGTCCACGTAATCACATACTGGTACGTTGGATTTTTCACGTCATATTTGAGGAGATCTACTACCTCAGGCAAAAGATCTGAAAATTTAATTCTTTTTCCTATTGGACTGAGGGTAGTAGTGTTTGAGAGTGCCATGATAGTAACTGATAGCATTTTGACGAACTAACTTATTTAATCATCGTACGGTATTGAATATTCATGCCACCGAGATAAAGGACTTCATACCCATGAAGCATAGTTATATTTATTATATCAATTTTTATGACTGCATCAATGTCAAATATGACTTGAATAAAATTAGAATTAACATACCGCAAAACAAGAAGAAAAGACGGGTAAGATCAACAAAATAGAACAAGAAAGCAATGCAATGTCTTGCAAGTAGGGAAGAAGAAACGGATCTTTTTATACCTTCATCTTATACCCATTTTCAAGGACCTTAAGCTGCTCCAGATCCTCTTCTAGTTGCAAAGGAGTAGGTTGAAGTTCTGGATATATCTTTAGAAACTTTGTATCATAGCTCTGAAAATACAGGAGCGGAGAATAATAAGCTCACAAGTTAAAAACCAGTACAAATGGTATAAAATAATATACGATCATGAACAATGCAGCCACGCACAATTTATCACAAAGTAAAATGTCAACCTAATACCTGAATTCCAAGATGAAGCAAATAGGGAAACTGTGGATTGGCCTTTCCTGACCTGTATCAGAGGACAATTAGTAAAGTCTAGCTAAGAACCCGCAAAACATGTTCTAATTTATTATTTTTTCATTCGCCATAAAATAAAAAATTTCATGAAAAAGGAAAACCTTTTACCCGAACCACTATGATAAAAGATAGAACACAAGAAACAGAAATAGATAAGCATAAGCTTACTTGTTAAATGGAATCAACCCCCTTGAAAAGTAGATGGCATAACCACTATTATTCACCACACATTTCACTCGATTTGGATCCATTGCATCTTCAAGTTTTAATGACGTGACGGCAGTGCTAAACACTGCATCTGGAGCTGCCTGACAAGATATTAAAAAAAAAACCCATTAAATAACGAAGTATGTCATCACATTCGAAATCAAGAAAGGAGAAATTACTTACCTGCAAAGCTTTAACAATTCCATCTATTATCTCAGGTTCAATAAGAGGTTCATCCCCCTGAATATTGACAACTATATCATACTTCTTCTCGAGCTTCTCAATTGCTTCAGAACAACGCTCGGTACCTTTAAGTTCAGAAAACAGAATATAAACTACCTTAAAATGTAATTATATATTTTATCTGAAAACAAAAACCAAGGTGCATACCGTTCCGGCAGGATTCCGAGGTCATTATGACATCAGCTCCAAAACTGCGACAACATTCTCGAATCTTCTCATCATCTGTTGCCACAACTACACAAAGGAAGGTAATAATAAAGTTTTGCACATATAAATATAGAGAGTTCACTTCACAAAATTTCATGAAGCCTTTTTATCGCTCTTGTAGGCATTAAGCAAAACTTAATGCCATCACGAGTATGCAAGCGCTAAGGCCTAGAACGGAAGGTCACTTAGGTATTAAGAGAATTGAAGATTGGACAAAAGCCTACATCACATCTGGTCTATTTAAACCAACCTAAGTCCTTGGGGTTGCTTCGGTTATCGAAGATCTCCACAAAGGTGAGTGTTGTTCAGAGTTTAAAAATGCCCCAGCCAGAACAAGCTCTTGAAGCTACAAAAAAAAAAAAAAAAAAAAACCAGACGAAAGGTTTCTGACTCTGGTCTTCCTCTTTCAACCAAAATCAAGGATGTTACTTGTACTGGATACGGGAATTGGACAAGTACCACATCGAATCAGCTGGCAGAGTTCAGATAGGGTGCTTAAAATTCAAAAGACGACACGGGGTTTTGGATGCCTCAAAAAACTTGCTAGATCTAATGCAATGCCTCAACAATGTAGCTACCGTCTAACAATGAAATCCGAGAATAAATACGAAACTAAATAGCATGGAAATCAAATGAGTAGACATACCAACATGATCCAATGTACTTGCTAGTTTTGCCCTTTCCCATGTTCTCTGTAAATACCAACAAAAATTTATATGTCAAATGTTTCCCGATCACAATACCAAAATCCCAAATTTTTATTTATTAAAAAAAACCCTGCTTTGGATCCAAGCAGCTTAAGAATCCCAATTTTTCATTAAAATTGACAACAAAATTAAATTTAGACAATGCCCATTTCAGATATAAAAAATTTCTTACAGAACAAAGATTTTCAAGGAAAAAAAACATTAAATTACATGTTTTTAAGGTAAAATGAGGTACCTGAATCATGGGTTTGCCGAGGATCTGAACGAGGGGCTTGCCCTGGAAACGAGAAGAAGCGAAGCGGGCGGGTATAATGCCGACTACCCGGCTCCGGAACTTCCTAGTCGGACCCAAGTAGGCCCGGGCCCCAATTGCCGCCGCAACCGCAACTCCGGCGACGATTCCGTGAACGATCCATGCCTTGGTGCTGTTCCAAGATCCAGACGACGACGACATTGGGATGATGTTGATCTCACTGAACCGAGTGAACGCAGCTATCGTTTAGTTTGGTAAGATTTCTGGTTTTCTTGGGGTATTTATACTTTTCACCTGTTTGAAACGGGTCGTTTTGGGTAATTGGAAGTTGGATCAACCGACTTGCTCTTGATTCTAAATGCTCAAATGTATAATCAATTCTTTAGGGAGTTTGATCTTATATTGTCATGATTTTATTTTACGATTGTAGCTCCTCTTGTGACTTGTCTATCGAGAAACGAATTTGGTTGCTAACGCTTTGGCTCGCTTGGATTTATCTTGCAATTTGACTTTAGTATTTTTTGAGCAAGTTTCTCTATTCTGTTCATGTTTTCTAGTTGTTAATATAGCAGAGACTCCTTGTTCTCGTGACATTGATTTTTACTTAGAACTTATTTCGGTTTTTAATTTTTAATTCTCAATTTTAAGTTTTCATTTTTTTAACAAAGCTGAAAATCCGAAACCCAACTTTTGAAAACTAAAAAAATTAACTCTCCATTTTTTATTTCAAGTTTTTAACTGAGAATGGTTATCAAATAAGTTTTCAGACTGGAAAGAAAGTAAAAATAAAAAGCAAAAGGTTAAAACAAAATTGTTATCAAACAACCGCTTGAATTTTCAGTCCCAATCCTCAATCCTTGCCCGAATATAGATCTCAAGCCTCGGCCCTAGGGTTCGCAATACGTTACTAATGCCCAAGTGTAAAGTTCCCAGTCTCCAATATAGGAGTTAAAGTCTAAGGTCCAAGATTTAGGACTTGATGCATAGAACAAGTTTAGCAATTAGAAAATTTCCTCACACCATTCTCCAAGTGGGATTGATACCCAAGATGAGATCATGTTAGGCAATACAAGTAACGGCGTTAAATTTATCTTTCCATTGAGTAAGATGTGACCAAACTACTTAACAACATAACATTAAGTTTCTGTTACATTTCCGAGCCAAAAGAAATGGCAACTCAAAGGGCTACATGTTACACTCGGATCACTGCACCATGTCGAAAAATGAATAAAAAATAGTCTCCCCTGCACTGCACAACATATTTCAATGTTCTGCATTGAGGGTATGGTAGGTAGGTAACTCATCGGAAGCTCAACACGCGCCCCGGTTATGCAAGTAAATGCTGTAAACGAGCAGTCAATGTCAGCACAGATAACAGAAGCCTGACTTAGTACTGCATTTCCATTCTGAGTGAACGGCAGCATGTTGTGTAGCAGCTTTGGTCAATGAATGGCAAAGCTCATCGGACCTCCACTAGCAGTGGAAAAGAATAACATGGCAACTTACAGGCACGAGAAGGATTCTACCGAGTCCATGCACCACCATAAGGACCAAAACTATTGGCACCATCTTGGGAATGTCTCCGTCTCCTCATCTTCTTTTTTCCCTTGTCTTTCCTTGATCCATTTTCCTCATGCCTGCTCCTCTCTCTCCTTGAGCCATTTTCTTCATATCTGATCTTCTTCCCCACCTCCCAATATTCTTTGCCCTTCTTACCGGACTTTTCTTTAAAAGAAGCTTTTCTCTTCTTTCCCGATGATTGCCCACTGTCACCTGCAGCAGAATCATGTCCCCGTGGCAGGGGATCATCTTCATCATTGAATTGCCAATTGCCCAGTAACTCCTGTGGATCATGTTCTAGCTGAACTGGCTCCCCTGCTCCAGGAAGCAAGCTATTGAAAGTTACCATTCCAGGCCCTCCTTTGCGTTCCACCAACGCCGAATCAGGCCTAATTATAGTACCGAGAATGCTCCTGTTTGGCCCTAGGCCCATAATGACCTTAGGGTTTGTCAATGTAGTGTAAGCCATTGAAAAAGCTGATCTAATCTGCAACATATATAAAAAATGACGTGAGGGAGGAAATGATGGGAGCTGGAGTAAGTAAAAGAGAGATCAGTAAATTATAAGATTTGGATTCGCAAGTGTTGCAAGCTAACTGTCTAACTGCTTGAAGCCAATGAAAATGCACTAGTGCAAGTGTGCAACCACAAACATATGGCACTCGGGCACCTCAGACATGTATTAACTATTAACTGACATGTTTGCTCCAGAACCTTTGAGGCCTTATGGGCAACAAAGAGCAATGTATGCGAACTTTTGTGTAACTGCATGCGCACATGCACAGACAAAAGATCTGTTCGACAGGTACCACTGAACAACAATAGCTTAACCCGCAGCTGGTCATCAATCAAATCGACACTTTACTTCATTAAACTTTATAAAATGTATATTAAGGTACCCAGCGGAAAACTGGAGGGTGAGAGATCATAAATCATTCAACCAACCTGAAAATAGTTGAAGGAGTTCTTCCCGACGTCATTCTCCGGTGCCTATATAACAAAACATAAAAAATGGTCAATTATATATCTGAAGAAAGAAGCAAGGATCATCACCCCTATTGATTTAGGTTCTTTCTGATCCCTGACACTGTGCTGCAACAGGGCCCAGAGATGTGAAAGACTGTAATTTACTAAAACAGCAGGTTCACATAAAATTCATTATTTTTTACCATGTCATTCAACTTCCTTGCAAGCAAATAGTTCACTAGGGTAGGGATTAAACCAATTATTCAGAGGCCCGCTTGGGAATGTCAAACTAGCATTACTTATATATATACTAACTGAACCAGGCAGCACTTCAAAGAAAGGAGATAGCATAATTAGTTAAGTTCTTTGATTTTTCCAGTCTCCTACAAAATAACCATTCAGAATGAAATCATGAACAGACCTGGGGATCCTCAATGGCAAGAAGAAAAGGTCGTCCATTGGATAAGAACCTAAGAGAGGACCAATCAATTGCATCAGTCAGCTATAACCTTGATCAAAAGAAATAATCAAATTGTACATTAAAAAGAGAGAGAGAGAGGAGAGAGAGAGAGAGAGAGAGAGAGAAGAATCCGAGAGAAAAATATCATCACTTTCTCAAGAAGGTTGTTTATTTTATACCCTTTTACACTCTTTTTGAAAAAGGTGCCTGCCCCATTGCACGATACACCAACATCTGAAGTGTTCAATTTCCGTCCATATAAATCAAAGAAGTTTACCTATTTCAGAAACAAACAGATAAACGAAAACATAAGCAACAAACTCACTGACTTTTCATATCCCTTAGACAAATCTATACTGTGATATGAGGTTAAGAACTAGAAAAATAAAGTGAATTCTATGGTCCACCAAATTCTGGTTACAGTTTACTACAAACCCTGGTTGCTGGAATAAAGTGCAAGTTATTTGACTTGTGATTTTAAGCAATAATAAAGGTCCAAAGTTTTCTTCTACTTGATCTAGAAAAACTTACCAAAAGAACTCCCAAGTTTTGTTCCGGAGGTCGACATTCCCTGAGGCTCTGTAGCATAAATTAATATATAAATCAGGGATAAAAAATTTACTAATCATGAGGAAGTTGATCTATTTATCTGAATTTCACAATTACAGAAGTTGTTGGTCGCTTATCTATCATCCAAACAAAAGATCATATTTTGTGTAGCACTATTTCATTCAAATTTCAATAATTTCTCTTTGGATCTCATTTGCGATCTTAGGTTGATTGATTGTCTTCCACTCCAATACTCAATGAAGCAGCATGTTTACAGATCCAAACAAGAGCCATGCGTTACAGATATATACATGGCAAGAAAGAATCACATCAAATCTTAAAATGCATATTTAAGAATCACTCACATGCAACATTGCCATGATCATTGTAAGGAGAGCGTAGGAACCTAATCCACCAGAGTATACCTGCATGTGTTATCAGAATCTTGAAATAGCTCACTGGAAAAAGAATGATGACTTAATCTCTTAGACTGGAAAGTCATACCTCATTTAGCTCTCTCTGTTGTAAAAAGACTTTCAAAATCAAACACAAAGGCCGCAAAGGAGGCCACTTAGATACTGCATCCTGAAAAGGGACCACAGGATAGTGTCAAAGGAGACTGGAGATAGTTAAGGTCTCTTGCTTTATATGTAACCTATATACTATAACTGATTCCTCACATAGCTTTTCTGTTTTTCTTTTACTAGGTGAAAGATATTGTTTGATATTCTCTGACTTTGCAATGTTTAACTTAGCAAATTAATAAAAATTTTAATTGCACAGCTTATCAAGTTATCATTTACTACTTCTTGTCACTCTTCTGTAATCTTCTTTCACTACAAACATTCTATATAACTATTGTTCAAAATACCATAACTACACATGAAACCATATTAAACTGTGATCAAAGCACAAAGTTGCAAACGACAAGGTTAACATTGTTCAAAGGCACATAGCCAGGCTTTGATCTATATTAAAGAAACTACAATATTCTTTCAAATACATAGTAGATGACACAATATGCAACAAACCTGAATAAATTCAGCAGCTTTTGGTCCACCTTCTATGTCAAAACTGTGAAGGAAGATATAAAATTATCAATGTACTTATTTGAACATGTCAATTGAGCAGAACCTATCACAGGCACTGCTTATCAATACATTGTAGTATTATTAACCCAAACTTTATCGCCAATGATAGAAGAGTAAACCTTATGTCGAATGCAATGCCACTTGTTTTCTCTACAAACTTAATAATGGGTACACGTGCCTTTCCAATCACCTGCGGAATCCACATAGAACAAATATAGAAGCTGAAGTTTGTCCGCAATAATATTTCAAATAAAACTTGAGGCACACCTGTATCCTTTTTGCCAATCCCATCTGTGACAACGCCCTAGAAAGGGCCTTCAATCCTTCCTGCGGTGTTTTGACGCCTGACCCCATAATGACAGCCTACGAGCAATACCAATCAACCAAATGTGTCACTTAAATGGACACTTGAGCATGCATTATAGACAAGAATAACAAAATTCAAATGCAAATTCATACTTCAGTTCCTAACTTATACTAGCATAAAGACCAACATACTTACATCAATATCACTAGCGGGAAGATATAGCCCCGTCTTGAAGGACCCAAAAACTTCAACCTATAAAGCAACATTCATTGAACTTTTTCGTGCTTCAAATCACACACACCCGCACTTCTGCACCCAAACAAGAAAAAGGAAAGTACCTTGGACCGAGGAAATATATATTTGATAAGGTCCGAGACCCGTTTTACTGCTGCACTGCGTGCCTCTTGTTCTTCTGGAGTTGGAGACAGAAAA